CCAACAGCAGCATAGTGGGAAGCCCAGGCCTAGTCTCCCAGGTTAGTAGCAATTGTGGCCCCCAATGACTTGAGTGCTCTTTAACCCTTGCTACCAAAGATGCCACACGCTGCCCAAAGGGATTAGCATAGGAAATCATGTCAGCAGAACATACACTCTTCCCTTCAAACATCCTACAGTGCAATGAATCCAGAGACTCCTGACTCTCTTCTAGGGACCAGCCAAGAAAATATGAAGGAGAGTGAATATAGGAGGATCTGATATATAAACCCACTTTTTTCTTTAATTAAATCAATAGTATTTTGGGTACTTGATTACCAAAACCTTTACAGGGAACAATATGTTCTGTGCAGAAAAAGCTAGAGAACAAGGTAAACTATTACCACATTCAATAATGTCTTATCAAATCAACCTGTATCCAAAAGCATCCCACGACACTAGTGAGTAATGCTGTGTTTCAGCCAACACTTCGGCTCACATTAGCACATCAGTTGTAGTTGTTGGGCAATGGTTTTGGTCTTCCAAATAAGTTGAGATCATAGTCTTTTTGTTGTTGTTTCCTGCCAGGCAAAGAAGTGGTTTCACCCTCAGCCTTTTCCAGACCAACGAAAGATAACAAGACACTAAAGCAACCCAACCCTCCCCATGTGCAACTCCTGCCAACTCAAAATCTCCTCAAACAATAGGCTACACAAGACTAGTATTTCAGGAGATGGGGTTTATATGAGGCCCAACACCTCTGCCTGAGAATGAATCATAAAACCACTAGCACTCCATTCTCCAGCATTACACCATCTAGCCCCAACCAGGTTGAACCGTGCAAAATGAAAAAGAAATCAGGTACACACTGAACTTAAAACCTCAAGTACATTTTAAATCATGTTTTTGACTCATTTAAATTAACAGAGGTCAGGCTACTTCTTTATTCAAGCTGGGCTATTCTTATTGCTTTAATACCAAGAGAGGTCAGCCACATTTTTCCACTCAAAAGTAAAAAAGTAAAAAAAAAAAAAAAAACAAAAACAAAAAACAAAAAACCCAGACCCTGACAGAAGAGCATTCTAAAACTCAGTAGAGCATATGGAAATAGCTTACAATAAACTTTGCCTTCTAGAATAACTAATGGAAGAAATTACCCAGTTATTTGGCCATGGGAAAGAACTATTTGTATATTTTTACATGCTTTGCAGATCACAAGTTAAAAGCAGCACTTTTTATTTTCTAGCATAGCTTTTTTCCAAATTTTTTACAAAGAACACCAGTGCAGCAAGACAAAAGCAAGTTAAATAAGTTTGAGAACCTTCCCCTTCCTGGGAATGACTGACGCTTGCATATTAAGGAGCCTGAGGAGTCCTACAGTAAACTCTGTGGAATCCAGCATTTCACAAGCTCATTTGCCTCAACAACCCTTTTTCTCTCATAGCACGTTATCAGCATCCCACAAGAAGGCTGTTCTGCAGAGTACATTTTGGAGAAGGTTCCTCTAGAAAAGGGATTTCATGAAACGGTTTAATGGCTGAAACTCTGGAATCAGCCCAATTCAAATACCAGCTTCAGCACTGGGAAGCTGGACAAGCTTCTTAATGTCCCTTGTCCCTCAGGCCCCCCAGGTAAAATGGCCAAGTAATAGCACCTACCTCCCAGGTACGGATCTTTCCACATGACTGGAACAGTCTTCTGAAAGCTTCTCATGCCCAGTTCCTTTTTATCATTCAGGTCTCAGTTCACAATTTCATCGCCTCCAAGAGGCCTTCCCTGACCACCTGATATCAAGTTGGCCCCACCCAGGTCGCTAATTCTTCCTTCTCTTCTTTTTTTCACGATGCTTCTCTATTTAACTATTAAATTATGGTTCATCCCCACAACTTTATTAGTTATGACTGCTTTAACCTGAAACAGATCTTCAGTAAAGTGCTCACTGAATGAATGAATGACTGAATGCACAAGGTAGTTATGAGAGTTAAATATGATTCAATGTAAAGCATTCTTCAACATGTCTGACATGTAAGCATCTATCCAGATACTGCTATGAAAATTTCTAATGAATGATGAGTGGTTAAGGAACTCCTAATTCTTGCACTATTTAACTTGCCTCTTCTTGCTGCATTGTGGTTAAACATTCGATGTCATTTATTCAGAGATGTGTTGGTAAGTGGGCTTTAGGGATAGGGTAGCAGGGGCGTAGGCCTTGGGAGTAGAAATTTGTTGATTTCCATGGTGTAAATACTCCCACCATGACTGATTTCAAGTTATCAATGGTTTAAAAGCAGGCTCACAAAATTCCTGAATCCAGTACATTCCTTCTCTTAGGGAAGGTCCTTTCAAGCCTCCAAGTCTTTTTGTTAAGTTTAAAATGAGATTTTTATATAAAGACACCTTTTCTACACACACCTCGATAATCCAAGAAAAAGGCAATCCTCTGACTTTATCTGATGCTCAAGGAAACTAGCTATGTATGTTGGGCTGAATTTTCTGTACCACTCTCTGTGGGCTCTCAAACTGATGTTCAAGGCTCTAAACATGATCTATTTCCATGCCAGACCACTGTAAGGGCAAACTAATCTTATAAAACACAAATTGAATTTTGTTTAGATTCATTTAAGTGGAGGCATCCTCACAATAGAATCAAGGCACCATCTACTTAGTGCTATCAATGAGAAGAATCTAATAACAGAAAAAGAGTGACTCTGCCTTGACCACAAGACCTCAACATAAAGTCAAGGTCAATGCTGCAGATGGAGGTTTCTCTGGCATCACTGCCCTGCTGTATAATGCAACATGAACCCCTGGCACCCAAAATAAAGCAGCAGCTTTTTTCAACTATGGCAATCTCTAGCCACAGTTCTAAGATAACATAACCAAAATTTCAAAATCCACAGTTGCTCTGCATGCAAGTGATTACATGCCAGTAGTTATTGCTTCCCTTCTGTAAACTAAATATAAAGTCTATGGAGAAAGGCAGGAAGAGATTACTTTCTCTCCACTGTACTGGTTATTTATTATTGTGTAGCAAATTATTCCCAAATTCAGCAGCTTAAAACAACACACTTTTATGATCTCACAGTTGCTGTGAGTCAGGAATCCAGGCACAGCTTAGCTGGGTCCTTTGCTTCACAGTCTCTCACAAACCTGCAATCAAGGTGTCAATCCAGGACCTGTCATCTTATCTGAAGGTTGCACTGGGAAAGGATTCACTTTCAAGCGTACTAAGTAGTTGTTGGCAGTTTTCAGTTCTTTGTGGCTGTTTGAATGAGGGTCTCAGTTCCTCACTAGGTGTTGACTGGAGGGGCTACTCTCAGTCCCTTACCACACTGGCCTCTCTCACATGGCAACTTGCTTCATCAAAGCAGGCAAGTTGAGAACTCAACAGAGTCTGCTAACAAGATGGAAATAACAGTCTTATATAACCTAATCATGTAAGTCACACTGGCATCCATTACCTTCACCATATTCTATTGTTTAGAATCAAATCACTAGGTTCAGCCTATACTCAAGGACATGGATTTACACAAGGGTATGATTGCCAAGAAGTATCTGTCATTAAGGGCCATCTTAGAAGTCTACCCATGACATTCAGCCTCTTAGAATATGAATAAGAAACCCAGGACCAACAAAACATCTCTTTGAGCATCTCTATCCATAACCAAGCCAGTGGTCTCCTAAGCATGCTGTTAATGTCTCATGAAAATAAAACAACAGAGAATAAGCATGGAGGACATTAAGTCTGAAGATACAGGGATCCCTGGGTGGCGCAGCGGTTTGGCGCCTACCTTTGGCCCAGGGCGCGATCCTGAAGACCCAGGATCGAATCCCACTTCGGGCTCCCGGTGCATGGAGCCTGCTTCTCCCTCTGCCTGTGTCTCTGCCTCTCTCTCTCTGACTACCATAAATAAATAAAAAAAAAATTAAAAAAAAAAGTCTGAAGATACAAAAGTCTGTTCAAATGTTCTAAGCAAATACAATCCACATCAGAGAAAACTCTTGGGAGCATCTGCATTAGCAAGCCCCATCATGGAAGTCATGTTTTCTGAACAACCAAAAAAAAAAAAAAAAAAAGATTCACAGCCAAAAAGGCTGTGAAAAGGTACATAATGCCAAGAAGTCTAACCTGGTTTGAAAGCAAATATCTTTTGGAATTTTTTATTTATTGTTATAGAATATCTTTAAAATATACTTAATGCCATTTTATTGTTTCCTATTTTCTGTGAGATCTGCATCTCCCACAGCATTTTGCCGACATGGTACTTTTGAGAGCCATATCCACCATAGTGGCAAGGAACTGCTATAAGAATTTCAAACCTTGGCTGTCACCCACATTTTTTCTAAGCTCTACCCAACTACATATCCTCAGATATCTAAACATCTCAATATTCAATAGTGGTGGCAGGCCAGAAAATATGCCTCTGAAGGACTTCAAATAATTTAATCCACTAAGGGTAAAATGCATATTCAGAAAACCTGGGATAGTTTGTTCTAGACAGAAGAAAAGGAAGACAAAGATTATCTGAAAACTAAACGTTCAAAATTGGTCTGCACACTTTACCATTCTTCCTAGAAATATCCACATGCTTTCTGCAAATGCTGCCCTAATTTAGCTATAAAAATATTTAGGTTCATTTTTTTGCTAATCACCTATTTGTTTTGCTCCTTTAGAAGGATGATATTTGATAAACATCTAAAAGTTAGCACTGTACTTAAAAAAAACCTGAAACTATGGCCATCTGGGGGAAAGCAATTGTAAACCACCTTAGAGTTGGCATGTGCTGCACACACTTGGATTCTGAATACGTGTCAAATAACAATGGAACATATGTGTAGTGAGGAGAGAAAAATAACTAATGCAAAATTCCAGTTTAAAGGTGATAAGCAGACAAGAAGATTATAAAACAGAGCCAGGAAATTTTGTTAAGGCTGTAGATATCTTCCAATCTGTAAATAACTTGGTAACATATTTTAACTTGTAAAATATGGCTTTGGGGAAATAGAATGAATGTCCTTACCTCTCTAAGATGTATGTTTTCCTTCTCTTTCTGGTCTAAAATCACTTCCAAGTGGCTGACTTGAGACTCAGCTTCTGCCATCCGCCGTGTCCGTTCATTGTCATCCTCAAGACTTTTAGAAGGCAAACCTTTGCTTTGCAGCATCTCAAGAAGCTTTTTAATTGACTCATCTCGGGCATTGAGGGTCTGTTTCTGTGTTTCAATTCTCAGCTCCATTTCCTCCAAGGTCTTCCTTAAAAGGAACAGCTCCTTGGCTTGTCTGTCATGCTCAGCTTGGAGCCGCCGGAAGTTCTCCTCAGTCAGCTCAATGGTGAAGTGCTCAGCTCCACGACTGCCACTCTCTTGCTGCAGGAGGTGATTGAGGTCTCTCTGGGTTCGAAGCTCATCCTGAAGGGCTTGGATTGTCAACTGCAGGTGCTGTGATAAGACAGGCAGAGCAGAAGAGGAGAAAGAAGGAGAAAAAGTCAATGGACATGCCAAGCGCTATTTGCTACTACCACACTATGAAGATGGAATGTTAATCATGAGGTCCAGAGGGCTAGCCGTGAAGTCCTCCAGGGTGACTTCAGAAGCATGGGACAGCACATGAAAAGGGGGAAAGTAATTCAATGATGCTTTCTGAATGTCTTAGGAGAAGAGAAATGTACACATACACAGAACAATATATTAGTGTCAGTCACAAGGGAAATTATACATCTACAAAGTTTTAATTGAGGAAGTGGAAAGGGTTAGAGGGGAAAAGTCTCACAAACACACCTTCTTTACACCAGCAATGCTCCAGACTCAGTATTCCTTGTTTCCTAAGGTGTTCTTTATTCTACTATCCATTATTCTCCATGATAAATGCATTTCCATTTAAAAAATGAAAATAATAGCATCCACTACAAGTAGACACAAACAAGGACTTTATTTTTTTTACAAATAAAGCTGTGAACAGGTTTAGTAAACAGGATTACTGCATCTGCAAGCAAAAGGGAACAAATGCAGACAGAGACAGACATAAACACACACAAGGAGGTGAGGCTGTGCAGAACAAAACAAACAAACTGCAAAGAGTGGACAAACCTTGGTTCTTCTGGCATCCAGTAACTGAACAGCATGGGAAATGGAAAAAAAAAATGAAGCAAAAAATCAACACAAAGAAAAGTCTAATGCAAGCAAAGGATATTTAACATAAAGAATCAACATAAAGTACCTTCACAGAGAAAAAAAAAGAAAAACAATTTATTACAACAAAGATCCATAAGCTACACAAAATCTATGCACTGCTGTTTGATAAATGTGATCAAAAGTACAAAAAAAAATAAAGAATAGGAAGAAGAAGAAAAGTGAGGTTAATTCCACCTTTTGTTTTCCTAAATCTCACTGACCCAAGAACCCAAAGTCTTCGGTGTACTACCAGGGAAGAAAGCACAACACTCCAGAAGTACCCACATATTATTCCAAATCATCATTTTAACCAGAATCAGAGTGAAAACACCAAAGAAACAAAATAGTTTACCGGTTCTGAGAAAAGAAACAGTTGCATGAGGACAGTTGGTAAATTCTGCAACATCTTCCCCACAGGGCTAACCCTCAGGCTGGTCAGAACAGCCATAAGCTTGAAGGCATTTTTGTCCTTGGAACAACAAGGAGCCTTCCAAAACAGCAGTTTCTCAGTTGAATCACCAAACACACAATCTTGCCAGTAGACCAGACACGATGCTAAGCAAGGGAATCAAAATGAACACAAAGCATAGCTCCTGCCCCTAGGTACCTCACAGTATTGAAGCCATTAATAATACCATGTCTCAGCTATACAAATATTGGAGCAGCCCACATTTTGAAATCTTTCAGAATTCCTATAGCTGGCACCCAGAAGTATAGAGATCTTTCCGAGTATAGTCTATGCTCAGATATTAGCACTAAGTATTGCAATATCTTGATTAAACTATTTATGGCTCTACTTCATCTTTCCATTTAAGAACATCTACTGAGACATTTCCAGAGCACAAAGAAAAAGTATTCTCTTTCTCATCCAAATGCCAGTCTCACAGGATAGTGACTGGGAGTGAGCAACTGGCATGTATTTAATTATGATAATTATGAAATTTTTAAATATAATTCACTCCTGTAAAGTGTAAAATTCAGTGGTATTCAGTATATTCACAAAGTTGTGCAAACATCCACATTATAAATTTTAGAACATTTTCGTCATCATTCCAAAAGAAATTCTGAAGGTATAGGATACAAAATTAATATAAAGAAATCTGTTGTGGGGTGCCTGGGGGTTCAGTTGGTTAAGCATCTGACTCTTGATTTTGGCTCAGGTCATGATCTCAGGGTCGTGAGATTAAGCCCCACATTAGACTCTATGGTTGGGAGTGGAGCCTACTTAAGATTCTCTTCATCTGCCCCAATAACCCCCTCATTTTCTCTCTCTTCTCCTCTCAAAGAAATATATCTATTGCATTTCTTTAGACTAATAATGAAATAGAAGAAAGAGAAATTAAGAAAACCATCCTATTTATAATTTCAGCAAGAAGAATAAAATACCTATAAATAAATTTAACCAAGGAAGTAAAAGACCTCTACACTGAAAACTGTAAGACACCAGTGAAAGAAACTGAGGACAACACACACAAATAGAAAGATATTCAATGCCCATGGATTGGAGGAATTAATATTTGTTTGTTTGTTTGTTTGTTTGTTTGTTTGAGCAAACTCCATGCCCAGTGTGCAGCTCAACACAGGGCTCAATCTCAGAACCGAGATCATGACCTGAGCCAAAATCAAGAGTCAGACACGTAAGTGACAAAGCCACACAGGTGCCCCAGGATTAATACTGTTAAAATGTCCATTTTACCCAAAGCAATCTAGATTCAGTGCAATCCCTATCAAAATACCAATAGTACTTTTTCTCAGAACTAGAACAAATTATTCTAAAATTTGTGTAGAACCACAAAAGACCTTAAAGAGCCAAAGCAACCTTGAAAATAAAAAATGAACAAAAACTGGAAGTATCACAACCCCAGATTTCAAGATATACTACAAAGCTATATTAATCAAAACAGTATGGTACTGACACAAAAATAGACATACAAATCAACTGAACAGGAAAAAGAGCTCAGAAATAAACCTGTGTGGTCAACTAATCTATAACAAAGGAGACAAGAATATAAAATGGGGAAAAGATAAACTCTTCAATAAATGGTATTGGGAAAACTGGATGCCTACATGCAAAAGAATACAACTGGGCCTCTTTATAACAATACACAAAAATAAATTCAAAATGGATTAAAGATCTAAATGTGAGACCTAAACCATAAAACTCCTAAAAGAAAAAGACAAGCACTAATCTCTTGTATACCTGCCTTAGAAACATATTTATGGGTATGTCTCCTCAGGCAAGAACAACATATGGCTGCTTATATTGTTTGAATTAGTATTTTCATTTTCATTTTCTTTGGGTAAATACCCAGTAGTGGAATTACTGGATTGGATGGTAGTTCTATTTGTAAGTTTTTGAGGAATCTCCATACTGTTCACCACAGTGGTTGCACCAATTTACACTCCCACCAACAGTGCTTGAGGGTTCCCTTTTCTTCACATCCTTGCCAACACTTGTCATTTCCTTCCTTTTTGATAATAACCATTCTGACTAATATGAAGTGATATTAATTTATATTTCCCTGATGATTAATGATGTTGAGCATCTTGTCATGTGTTTGTTGACATCTGTATATCTTCTTTGGAAAAAATACTTATTTAGATCTTTTGCCTATTTTTTAATTGGGTTGTCTTTTTGGTGTTGTGTAAATCTTTATATATTTTGATATTAACCTCCTATCAGATGTATGATTTGCAAATATCTTCTCTTATGCAGTAAGTTGACTTTTCATTTTGTTGATGGTCTCTTTACTGTGCAAAAGCTTTTTATTATAATGTAATCCCATTTGTTTATTTTAGCTTTGGTTGCCCTTGCCTGAGGAGACTGGCCAGAAAAATACTGCTAAAACTCATCTCAAAGAGCTTATTGCCTATGTTTTCTTCTCAGAATTTTATGATTTGGGGCCTTACATTTAAGTCTTTAATCCACTTTGAATTTATTTTTATATATGGCATAAGACAGTGGTCCAGTTTTACTCTTTTACATGTAGCTGTCCAGTTTTCCCAACATCATTTACTGAAGAGTCTTTTTCCCATTTTATATTCTTGCCTTCTTAGGAATAGATTAGTTGACCATATATTTGTGGGTTTATTTCTGGACTCTATTCCATTAATCTGTGTGTGTGCTTCCATGTCAGTACCATGTAATTTTGACTACTATAGCTTTGCAGTGTAATTTGATCAGGGAGTATGATACCTCCAGCTTTGTTCTTTCTCAAGACTGTTTTGGATATTTGAGGTCTTCTGTGGTTTCACACAAATTTTAGGATTCTTTGTTCTAGTTCTGTGGAAAATGTCATTGGTATTGATGGAGATTATGCACTGAAACTGTAAATTGCTTTGGGTATGGACATTTGAACAATATTAATTCTTCCAATCCATGAGCATGGTATATCTTTCCATTTGTTACTGTCATCTGAAATATCTTCCACCAATGTCTTACAGTTTTCAGAATACAGGACATTCATCTCCTTGATTAAATTTATTCCTAGGTATTTTATTATTTTTGATGCAGTTATAAATGGAATTGTTCTCTGGATTTCTCTCTCTGATAGCTTATTATTAATGTATAGAAAAGCAACTGATTTCTGCAAGTCAATTTTTGCAGGTAAAGTATCCTGCAACTTTACTGAATTCATTTATTATTTCTAATAGGCTTTTCTTTTTTTCTATATATAATATCGTGTCATCTGCAAAAAGTGACAGTTTTACCTCCTCCTTAACAATTGAGATGCCTTTTTTTTTCTTTTTCTTGCCTAATTACTGTGGTTAGGAGTTCTAATAATATGTTGAATAAAAGTGGCAAGAGTAGGCATCTCTGCATAAGCCCTGACAATTGTTTTCTTTCTTTTTTGCAATGACAGTGCCTGACTTAAGATTTGACTGCTAAGGCATCCACTTCAAAGAGGCATCTACTTCAATGACGGCTATCTCAAACACATTACCAACCACACAAATAGATAAGAGCCAGACTGCCTCCCGTATTGAAGCTCCTTTGTTTTAGAGATTTTTTTTTTTTTTTTTTTAGAGATCTTGATTGATATCAATAACTGACCATTTGGGACACTTGTTTTTTCTCTTCTCATACTTAAAATCTCTCCTCTTATGTTTTAAATTCACCAATAAAGAATGAGCTCACAAAACCCTAACCCCCCTCTTGACTCAAATAAAAGCAGAACCAGGCCCATGGTTCTCTCTACCCATGACCTCACTGCATGGCCTTAGCTCCGCTGTGCAATTTCCAGGTTCTTTAGATGATAAACCTTTAT